ATTGATTAAATTCAATTTATTGATCAAGATCATTTTCTTCATTCGAATAACGATGTTAAGTAATAAATAAATGTTTTATATTATATAAACGTTTGCAAATCAAATATATCTATTTAAGGTACTATTTTATAATGTATTTCAGGTTGTTGTAAACGTTGTGTATGACGATCAATATTTATTTTTGTTTATTAAACTATATTAATCCAATATGGATGAATTAAGATGAGCAAAAAAATATGTTAGGGATTTAGTGAATAAAATGATCGAAATGATAGAAGTCAACGAAGAGTTTATATTGAATAAGAGTTGAAATGTTTGATCATCAATGGAAGATTTTAATTAAGTAGAATTTACAGAAAATGTAATTGGTCTTTTATCATATTGCATATCAGTAAAATAACGAAGGAAATATATCATCAATATTCAACTAAAGAAAAACAAAAAAGCAAGAGTTAAGATTTTTTTATGTTATTATTGATGGTTATTCGAGAATATAACTAAAACTTATTTAAGAATTTATTCTCTAGTATTATATAGATATTTACCGTTTGGTATTATTCTTCTTTTTCAATCTAGAGATTTTCTTATCATAAATCATAAATAAATCTAACGATCAAAGTCTTCCAATTGAGAAATCACTCGTTGAGTCCTGAACTCGGACTAGATCGGATTTCGGTTCGAAAATTTTCGAGCAAGGAGCTTTCTTCGAGACAATTGGCATAATGTAGATCAGAGTAAGTCTTAGAATATCCTGGAAACGAGTAGAGATTCTCAACTTATTGATGTATAGATTCTATAAATGTTACGCTAGTTTTTATATAGATACTCTAGTTGCCCTCGTAAACATCACCTTTATCGAATATATCTAATCTTCTCCTAGAGTTCTCAATACATTCTGATAATTTTTTTAGGTTTTTATGGGAACTTTGGAGAGAAACAAGATGTTGAGAGAGTATTTGTCTTTCTCTCGAACAAATGTGGAACAAAGATAAGTAGACAATGTCATTAGAAAGTAAACAGGATTGAGACAAGTCCCAGTAAAGGGACGGCTTGATAAGAGATTATCTCTTGTGAAAGGAGCCGAGTGATGATGGGTTTGGTACTTGCTTTGACGGACACCGGTTGTAGTAGTCCAAGGATGAAACTAGTTTCCGAGAAAAGTTTCAGAGTTTGTGTAGAATCCTAATCCATCATTCTAGCCATAAATGAACGAAACAACCGTTGAAAGAGACGTTAACAAGACTAGTGTTTGATTGTTAAAATAAAAGTTTATTTTAATTTGATTCTATCCTTAAATAAGAATATCGAATTTCTAGTTATAGATCAGTGATATAAAACGAGAGACCTTTTACCATAGGTATATATTGAGAGAGGAAGAACAACAAAACAAAAGCATTGACAATAAATAATTGACGTTGATAACTGTCGTTGTGGAAATGTTTTAAGTCGAAATTCTAAAATGAACGTTTTCTGAATAAAATCACGTCAATAATTTGAAAACTAATGTAAAAGTAAGATATGTCCTTGATGAAAAATAAACGAAGCTAAATTGTTTTGAGGATAAAGATACCTCATTTCCTTCTATATAATCCATATGGTCTCAACTGAAAAGCGATGAAGTGATAATCTCGATAAATCTTAAAAGTAGAGATTTCTATAAAAGATTTTACTCACCAATTGTAGAATTGAATATTTAATGATAAAACGGAAGATTCAGTTATTAGATTTTCAAAAGGAAATATTTTCTCTCAAAATAAAGATTTAATTCGTATCGAAGCTTGAGACTGATTATAATAGAACTAGAGTTGATCATTGTTGAAAAGTTTCTCTTCGTTTACTCAGATGAGAAAAATGAGAAATGAGTTGCCATTGTTGCGTTGGTTTAAATGAAAAATATTTTGTCAATAGAATATTGTTATTGACTCTTATTTTATATTGTCGTTTTCCTAATAATATCTAGGATTCTTCTACCAAACGGAAATTCTCTCATCGAGATCTCTAAAGATTATCTATAACAACAATCGATACGAAATAACGTTTGTTCATATAAATAAAAGCAATAGATTCGAATTAAATAATTAAAGAAATAAATATTCCCAAACCTTATTAAGAGCATGATCATCAATCGATGCATAAATTGTATCTATATCTCTAAGATGAAGATATTTTTCAAGATTTCGAATAAATTGTCTATCTGATAGATTATTATCTAAAGATCTCCTATGATAAATATGATAAACTATTATATGTTCAGATTTAAAACAAATTAAAAAAAACAAAACATATTCGTGTTTAATATTGTTATTTAAAGATTGTTCTTTATTTTGATATTAATGATTAAGATAATTATTATTCTCAATCCTGAAAGGATGGAGTATTGGGAACGGAAATTCGTATGTTTGTCCGGTGTCTGATTGGTCGGACCAATGAACCAATAGAAATCGAGATTTTCGAAAAATAGCTCCCTATAGGTAATTCGAGGTGGAGAGTTCGAATCTGAGCTCCATTTTTCTCGAAACCCTACTGGTCGGCCAGGAACCAATAGAAATCGAGATTTTCTAAAAATAGCTCCCTATAGGTAATTCGAGGTGGGGAGTTCGAATCTGAACTCCATTTGTCTGGAAACCCTATTGGCCGACCAGGAACCAATAGAAATCGAGATTTTGGAAAAATAGCTCCCTATAGGTAATTCGAGGTGGGGAGTTCGAATCTGAACTCCATTTTTCTCGAAATCCTATTGGTCGGCCAGAAGCCAATAGAAATCGAGATTTTCGAAAAATGGATTTCTATAGGTAATTCGAGGTGGGGAGTTCGAATCTGGACTTTATTTTTCTCGAAATCTCACTGGTGGGCGAGAAACCAATAGAAATCGAGATTTTCGAAAAATGGCTCCCTATACGCAATTCGAGGTGGGGAGTTCGAATCTGAGCTCCATTTTCTCAAAACTCTATTGCTCGATCAGGAACCACTAGAAATTGAGTTTTCAGAAAATTGGCCCCCTTGATGTAATTCGGGGCGTGGAATTCGAATCTCAAATCTGTTTGTCTCAAAAGGGTGTCAGAGTGTGGGTGTGAGTGTGGGCGGGTGTGAGTGTGGATGGATGTGAGTGTGGGCGGGTGTGGGCGTGGGTGGGTTTGTGGGTGGGTGTGTGTGGGTGTGAGTGTGGGTGGGTGTATGGGTGGGTGTGGGGTGTGGGCGTGGGTGTGAATGTGGGTGTGGGTGTGGTGCGGATGGGGTGTGGGTGTGGATGGGTGTGTGTGTGGGTGCCGGTGTTGGTGGGTGTAGGTGTGGATCGAGAGTATGGCTGTAGTCCTGGCTGTTGGTGTAGATGTATGGATGCGGATGTGAGTGTGACTGGGTGTGTATGTAGATGTGGATGTGAGTATGGTTGCGTGTGGGTGGTTGCGGCTATGAAGTGTTGGATGTGAGTGTGTCCGTGTCGGTGTAGGTGGTTGTGGCTATGCTGTGTTGGGTGTGG